AAAGCTCTACAGTTGCTGCAGTTTCCTCCCGATTACTGCGAAGCCGCTGATAGTGTTCTGGGGGAATGCAAGGTTGGGATTCCTGTGAATTCTATGTTTTCCTATGATTTTTTTCTGGTTTCTATAACTTTTGCATTTTATGAAACCCCTGTTTAAGCTTTTCCCTTCCTTAGAGCCATGTGTACAAACATCATAAGAATGGTGATTGCTGGCATTTTATGCTTGCAAACAACATTGCTATGATGTTTGCTTACATCACTTTATACCAGTCTCAAGCGCTTTTCGCACACTATCAATCTCCCCTACCGCCCCCCCCCCTTCCACATTGTTCGCTGTTATGCTGGTGCAACGCCTGTGCTTTATGGCTTGTTGTTTTGATGACTGCATTCCGAGGGTGTTTTGTTAGGTGTCGCGATGACGTATGGTGCAGCCACGGACAAGTAGGCACAAAGGTGTTGGTAGTTGAACTTTATTGTTAAAAAGGAATCAAGTCATTCTGATTAAAGCATTATTTGTTTGAACGGAAATGGAGCAGGAGGTTGCGGAATAGCACGGCATTCTTGAAGAGACTCATCCTCCTAGCCACTCCCTATTTAAGTGATCTGCCCATTTAGGAAGCGGCTAAGGAAGAATGTCCGACGCCTACCTTGGCCCTCATATCCGACCGACCTCGGGCACAGCTTACGCGATTTCATCGCCTCGCGATTCTCCAAACAAGACAATAGTTACGAGTTCATTGCATGCCGATCATTTTGAATTGCGATTGTGATAGTTAGTCACGATTATGTCGGAAAACTATCGCCGCAATGCAACTTTATCAGCTTTATCAACTTTATCAACTTTATCGGCATGCAATACTCGTAACCGTGGTCCACTGGGAGAAAATCGCATGGTGGTGAAATCGCGTGAACTCTGCCCGAGGTCTTAGGCGGTGTTGTGCTCTATCGCAATCGCCTGCTCTTCAATCAAAGTCATTCACCAAGTAATTTAACTATAATTGAGGAAGTGTAATCACTTACGTAACCACTTACTTTCTATGTTACTTGTACTATAGTAGTGGATAGGTAACCAGCGAAAAGTTTCAAAAAACCGAACATCAAATGCTGAAAAATTTACACTGGTTTAGGCTTAGTCAGGGGCATAAAGAGCACAAACGACAAATATGAAACAAATCACCATTCCAAAAGTACTAGTGCTGACTCAACCGATGTTCTCTTCAAGGTGGCTGCCGAAAAGCGCCTGAAACGAAAGAATTCGCGATTGGACAAATGCGGAATCCCCGAAGAAGAGCTGTATCTTATGCAGCAGCAATTGATACAACAAGCGCGTGAACAAGATCCGGATCAGTTACGAGCTCAAGCTGCAGCCGTTCAGCCGCTTGTGCAGGAGCAGCAAGTATTTGCTGCACAGCCGGCGCAGGATGATGATGAGTACGATACCTGAGATGCTCGACCCTTCATTGTCGATTTTTATGTTTATGGTTGTAAATAGATGTGTCATAAGTACTATTAGTGGGTTTCCAGCATACTGTGGTTGTTTTTGATTTGTTTTTATTTGGTGGACTAGAGAAGGCTCGAATTTTTATGGGAACTAAGATCTTTATATATCTTTCTCTGAGGCTGCTAGACTTTGTCTGAAGGAAGGTATTTTGTAGGAAGGTATTTTATGACTTATCTTCAAATACTTTCAACGAACAATTTTTATCTTCGTTTTAATTTTTCTTTTAGCCAAATCTATCTCGTGTTATAGAGCTTCCCCTTTTATTTTTTCTCAGAATTGTTTTCATTCTCTGTTTTTTCTTTTCTTGTCATAACAAGCTGTGAATGAAGTATATTTATTTGTGCCTTTTGATTCCATTGATGGTACTACACCCGAATATCCTGAATTTCTTTGAATATTAATGCAAGAAAGTTCACTTGGCAACGACATCTGAGTAATAGAGTAAAAGAAAGCCAGGCTAGATCAATTGCACTTTCGGCTTTGAATGACTCCCGAAATCAAGACCCTGTAATTTTCCAAACTTAGTTGTATTTTTACAATCTGAACGCTTGCACTTTCTTGCAAAGTCTATAAAATGATAGTTTCCTGTGGTCAGCGAAGAGTCATTTACGTCACAAAACCTTGATCTTACAGTTAGTTGGATTCCTAGTCGTGGGAAAGAGGCAATTGCGTGAGAACTAGCACCGTTCCGCTGCATGATGCTTTTCCATTTTTAAACCTTAGCACATTACAACGGTATAGAAAACTAAAATTTGGAAATTGTCGTGCTCCTCTT